CAAGTCAAAAAAAATCTAAAAGGCATTCAAATTATCCACCAGCCTTTTTTTTTACTTTTTTTCAGTGGTAACCTTTTAGCAATTGGCCAACATATTAATGTTTGACTTTGAGTGTGAAAATATTTGTTCCAGGTTCAATATATGTTTTATATCAAAGTAAATCTGCAAGAAAAACCCAACTATAAACTAAATTCATTGGATAACTCAATACAAAAAGACAGAATACTTACATTTTTTTTTTTAGAAATTTTACATAGAATGCAGTCACCCAGTTTTATTTAACTTTTTTGTCTTGACTGATAAAATGAAAAAACAAATGAAACTAATTTAGAACTATTATGGAACCCAACAAACAATGCTGTTTCGCAGATAGGTTGGAAAGACTATACACTTACTAAACCATATGTGAATAATAAATGGCAAGATGCTGACTTAAATTATAAAGACTCCAAATACATGAATACAAATAATGCTGTGATGTATAAATATGTAATTTGTAAGTGATACATTGCATATTTCCTTTATAACACAATATACTCCAATTGTTACCCAATGAAAGGCCAGGCCTTGTGATCACTGACAGTAACTGCTATCGTTCACTAATATTGTCCTAAGTGGTCTAACAAAGGGACAACATAGTTTAAGCGTAGAACAAAAGCCAAAAGCAACATAATCAAATTCACTGTCACAATATCAGTGAGAAACACTGAGCAGTCATTTAAATGCATACATTGAATAAACAACACTTAAGCCTGTAAGGCAAGGCTGAAACTACAAATGTGTTTGAGTCAACATGTACACGGTGACTAACAGGCCATGCACACAGCATAGCACTTATTAACACCAAAATGGGTTTGTAACCGGTGATCGCAACCAACTTATGCCTTATATGCACTCTTGACATAAAGAGTGAAGGTTGTGATTCATATCACTGGCTAATTTATCGCAGCCACATCTGTCTGTTTTATGACAGAGTAAAACAAGAGTAACACATGGCATTGTATCTAGATGGGCAATCGGGCGTCAGCGTGTGCTGGGGTTTCCAAGGTCCCCACAATGACTGTGCTCTGAAGTGCCCGCCCCAGTTTGGCCTGCGTCCCATGCAGACATCGATGGTCTGATGCTATAACACCTGTAATAGTCACACATGTTGCTAATGAACCAAGAAACCATCACAGATAAATGAAACAAGCTCCAGCCTATTATGCACAGGCAATCCCTTAGTGTGTCTCGGGGTGTGGTATCTTTGTGGCGCTGTGTTGCTAGAAGCACTACTCTCCCAGTCATATTTGGATTTTCTGTCTCCCTGAGATAAACACTTTTTGGATGTCTGCTACTAATTTCTCGCATTATGTCTCTTAGCGGTCATAGCTGCAAATGTCTCCCAGACCCGGTAATGTCTTTATATTACACATTTAAAAATATGCATATAATTTATACACACACACACACACACATACACACACACAAATATATATATATATAATTTAAATAAGACAAGATTAACAATTTCTTTCATTTTGCCATGTGAAATATCCTGCTAATAGAAGGTGGACAGTTATTAGGGTTTCTTGGCCCAAAGACAGACAGCCAGACAGACAGACAGACAGACAGACAGACAGCCAGACAGACAGACAGACAGCCAGACAGACAGCCAGACAGAAAGACAGACAGACAGCCAGACAGACAGACAGACAGACACACTCAAAATGAAATGGGCATCAAGTTTTAAAGGGCAACATATGAGTGCAAAGGATGGGCAACAGGGACCGGGTGTGTTCATTGGGGCTGAGAAAAGACAAAACAAAATCTTATATAACGATTAGGATTAAGAAACATGTCAAAATGATTGAATTTGCTTGTCAGTAGAATCCCCCCCAGATTAGGATGTAAGAACCAAAACATTCCACTATGCATTCAACATAATACCATATAAAGAAATGACATAAAAAAAACACTTCAGATCATTGTGGTAGCTGTTCAATTTAATTCTACAGTTAAGAAGAAAACTGTCACAAAAAAAACTGCAGGACATAAACAGAGCACAGACTCCCATGTTATTTTCAGACAAACCGCTTGCACTGATATTTTTATTCACAGCAAGGCCTGGTAGCTAATTCTGTTTGCTGTCGCAGGCAGTGCTTGTGTGCAGCCCTCTATAGAGCATCCCGTGCACAACGGCAGCAGGTGGTGATGCAGTTAAAGGACGGCACTTCTAACTGAAAGCTTGGAAGTTAAATCTTAGGAAGGCGACTGGTATAGAAGTAGTGTTAATATATTTCTAGCTGTCTACACAGCTGAAATCAAGTAAAGATAAATACCTCCCACAACAAATAAATAATAATAACTGAATGTGTCAGGTGGCATGACAGCTTAGTGAGTGGCACTGCAGCATCACAACTTCAAGGTTAGGGGTCGAATACAGTTTGGTCAGGTGTTTACTCTAAATTGCCCATGGTATGTATGAGCAGGTGTCCTGTCATGAACGGCATCCAGTTCAGACTGCCGCCCCCCCATCTTGTACCCTATGCTTTCTGCAATAAGCTCCAGGTTCACTGGAACCTGGCACTGGATAAGCAGTTATGAAAGATGGATGGATGAGAGATTTCATGATAATATCATTGTACATTGTACTGGGGGCCTTAGCGACCTCAGAAGGAATTTTCCAGGATCACATACATTTGCTGTAGGATTATAAGAGATGTCAGACTGCATCACCTGCAGAAACCGCTTGCACATTTTGAGCCAAATACATTTGGACGACACAAACATGACCAAGAGAGACGTAAAGCTTTCTTGAATAAACATTTCACAGTATGCTACAAACTCCCCCCGTCCATGACTAGTGCGTTGTGTTGCCAAATGTGTCTTGCTGTTTAATATCCAACATGACACTCATTTCGGATGTCAGCATCGCAACTCTTCGGCCCATATATAATCTTCAGCCATTTTTAACTTCTGATGGAAAATCTGGTGGGCTGTCTAATTCCAGATTATTATGTAGTCTCCCATCAGAAACAACAGATGCACGAACAATTGTCTGGTAATCCCACACAACCAAATGAAAAAACATTTCTGTTGCTATGTAGACCATCTTTCAAATAAGCCGTCAATATAGGCAGCAATAGCAGAGAAACATGAGCATGCACACCAATGTTGTGCACCTCCTGTTGTCGGTGTCGCAACTGGCATCGGCACGGTGCCAAAGAAATTAAGAAAGAAAAATATGAAATAATTTGCAAAACTGACACAATCAAATAGAAGAGAAGTGAAGTAAATGAACTGATCAGAGGCCAGTGAAAGCTCACTATGTATATTTGCAGTGACTTAATTGCTTACTTCAGGGCTAAGCAACATTTATTTACAGTACTACAGCTATCATCATATATAGTACCAGCCAAAAGTTTGGAGACACCTACCCATAGGTTCCATCCATCCATCCATTGCCCAACCCGCTTATCCTACTGGGTCGCGGGGGTCCGGAGCCTATCCCGGAATCAACGGGCACGAGGCAGGGAACAACCCTGGATGGGGGGCCAGCCCATCGCAGGGCACACTCGCACACCATACCCATAGGTTTATTTGTACTATTCGCTACAATTTAGAATAATTATAAAGACATTAAAAATGTAAAATGACATATGGATTATGTTACTGACCAAAAAAGTACTAAAAAATTTGTTGGGAGCGGCAGCTCTGTGGGTTGGGACTCAGAAGGTTGCTGGTTCAAATCCCATTATCAGCAGAGTGATCCCATCATTGAAACCTTGAGCGAGGCCCTTAACCCCAATTGCTCCAGGGACTGACTGACCCTACTGTCTCCTCTACGCCGTTTCATGTCCTGAAAGAGGTCCCACAGATAAGCTGAGCTCTCATTGGCTGCTTTTCCATCACTCTCTGGTCAAACTCCTCCAAAACTATCTCTACTGTGTTTCGGTCAGGTGGCCAGGTCATGTGATGCGGCACTATCACCTTCCTTTGTAGGAGGCTTGGTGTGTCCAAACTTTTTACTGGTACTGTATGCCTGCATGTCTTTTGCATCTTAAACATGCATGTGTTAATTACAGAAATGTCAACTTCCACAGCTCACAAAGGAGCAGAAGTGAGGCTTGGAATCCTTGGTTACCTGATAGAGGCTCATACCGGGGCCCAACCCCTGAATTACAGACCTGTTCCAGGGCCCCATTCACCTCTGACCCCCTGAACTGTTCCACCCCATTTACAGTGCCCTGCACATGAGGTCATATACCAAGGAAGTACTTAGCAGTTTTTAACTATTATCTACCTCAATTATCTGACTGAACTGCATTATCTGAAAAAATATACTAGGAAGTGTAACTTTTAAAAATATCTGCCCCGTGTTTACTACTCCGACTCTGAGTAAGAATGCATGTGCTCGCATGAAGATCTATCCATGCCACAGTCGTGCCCATGCCTTAGAAGCCTAATTAGTGTGAGTATTTAAAAGTGTAAATTATAATCGTGGCTCTCAAAAGCCCAGACATCTTTTTTAAATTTATAGTCCAGGGAATGCTAGTAGGTCACGGAATGGCTTTCTAAAGATTGTCTAGTGATTGATTACACAGATCACATATCAGGAATGCAATACTGGGGACTAACTGCCGATAACGTATACGGGGAATGAACGATCGCACCGTGCACTGAAGAAATTTAAGTGACCCCAACCTATATTGGCCTCATATGGTTTAGATTACATGTGTCAAAAGTTAAAGATTATGGAAAAAAAATAGACTGTGTATATATGAAACGTTCAACCACACTATTTGGGGATACAGCTCACATGTAACACCTGATATGGGTAATAGGTACATAGTTTCCTTTATGAGAAAGTCATGAAGATTTTTGATGTGAGGGAAGGTTTGGTAGGAAAAAGTGCCGAGTAAAACTACGTAGTACACAGTACAGAGGTGCTTGCAGAGTGATCACAGATCTCCTTGATGCGAGGGAGGGGCAAGGAGAACCTTAAAAGGGACACTTACTTTGCCTGGTGAATTCGTCGGCGTCGCAGTGCACCAGGTCAGCCACGCAGCCGGCGTAGTGCAGCCGCGAGTCATGGTCGTACGCCTTCAGGGTCTCGCTGGAGCTGTACGACTTCTGCGTGGGCACACAGCAGTCCTCAGCGTCCAGCGAGGAGTTGTAGTGGAAGTCTTTGCCGTGCCGGCTGCGGGTCAATGAGCGCTGGCGCTGGTCGCTGCTGTCCATTCTGGCAGCGCTGTACACTGAGCCAGCTCCAAAAAAAGACCCTCCTTGCTTGAAGCTGGCCGATTATTTACCTGAAGGGGTAGACAGAGGGAGGTCAGGGTGCAGGTTAGCAGGCCAAGCTTTGATCTGAACAAAGCTTGCTGGTTTTTACTAGAAAGCAAGACTGGCACGATAACTGGCTTTCAGGTAGTGTGATGTAGTTACAGTTTGTAACTACATCACATATTGCAAATATCATCTGCATTCAAAGTGAACGTTTCACTTAGCTATAGCATTGTCCCCCCCCTGCCAGTAAACCTCTGCCTTTAGAGATTAAAAGAGAGCCTGCCCCCTTTCCACCTCTATTGCAGTGGTTTGCAAGTCAGCACAAGCTAATTGGTATGCTCGCCACTGACGTCACACAAAAGGGGAGGGGTGGGGGGGCAGAAATGAAAGGTTTGTTGCCCATTACGCATGAGAAATGGAAAGCGAATGACAGAAAAGGCTGAATGGAAAATGACTCCAGAGCTTTGCTGCTCTCCTGTTCATTATCATTCGGAGAATGAGTTCGGCTCACACGCGAGATAATCACAGACACCCGAGCATGCTGCAGGCGACCAAACAGCCAGGCCCCACTTTCTGACTTTCTCTGTTTGTCTGCAAACTAAAATCGGCCCCGCCGCTGAGAGGGACCAAGGCCGGACCAAGGCTGAAGCAATACAGTAACACGCAGGCTGGCAGACTTTCATTTATGTGTTTGCAAAACACATAAACGGTAAGTGATGTGCCCGTAAAGCTAGCCAGGGCACTTTTTAATGGTCTCCGACACCATCGTTTTTTACACGAATGAAAGTACGTGACCCCTACACACGTCTACACCCAGGCCGCGAGTAATGTATACTAGCCGCCTCACAGAAACACAAAAACACCAATAACATTGGCTTTTACCGGCTCACGTACATGCCACAAAGCGTACGTGGTACGAGGCCGTTTTGTGAGGAATGACTCCGACTAATTAGTCATAATGTGGATTTATTTGTAAAGTGTATAAGGCCGTTCCTCGGCGCCGATTGACTGCTGAGCTGACATTCACCCTCGCGCAGGCTGCACCTCACGGTCACCAAGCACGCGCCGGCTCACGCGATTAGCCGCACGGCGGCAAATGAAGCGTTTGCTTGCATTTACGGCTGAGAAGGCGACGGGCAGGATGCGGTGAGCGCTGGGCTTCTGTTGTCTCGGCGTCACCTCACGGAAAAGACCGCTGTCATTTTGTCGAAGATCGCTTGTTGACTTTATGTTTAGGGCGAGAAACGCGGCACTCGGTCTCGTCGCGCGCCCGACGCGGCGTCGCATGCAGGGATGCTGGTGGTGGCTGGCGCTGCTCCGCCGGTGGCACCTTATCTCAGCTGCTCCATTTAAAACAAACAAACAATAAAACACACACAACTGTATGAATGTATTACACTGGGCGAGCTGCATCTCCTTCTCCAAGCATATAAATAATAACCTTCCAAAAAAAAAAAAAAATCAAATTTCCCAGCCTGACCTGGGCCAGCTGAGTAACTGGGGCTGTCGGCGGGAGGGGGCTGCGGGGGATGTCGCTGGGTAGATGGCGCGTGAAGCGCACATGCAGGCTTGCAATTCAAGGTTAAAGATGCAATCTGCCGCTCTACCTAGGCGCCCCTTTGCGCCCCACACTTGCATATAAAAGTCTTGTTAATCAGTGAGCGTGAGTGGATTTTTTTAAGATATTTTTCTGGGTACATTTAATATCCAAGCCATTTGTTGTTTTTGGAAACCGCAAACGCTGTAAGAAATCCACAAAAAGAAATAAGAATTAGGACCGGCATATTTAATGTAGATAACTTTAAAAAGATACTCTAATTTCTGCTTTGGCAGGACCTCATTTTAACTGTTTTTGATTTTTTTATAAAAATGCAGATCGCTCAGCTAAGGAAATCTACCTGAAAGTGAAAAGAAATAATATATTCGTCCCCAAGACATTTTCCTGAGTCTCTGCCAGCTCTAATCCCACAATGAACAACTCATAAAAAATAAGAGACACACTAATTTATCTTTTTCTCGCTGTTCTTCACCTGCTCCATTACCGAGCCCGCTGCACTGTTTGCACATGACAAATCGGAGGAGGAAACCCTGGACGATGAAAACCATAATTCAAGTCTCCGCAGAAGGGGGTTCATTATCAGAGGCTTCTCATTATCTAATTCTGTCAATACACGGGGAGTATGAACGCACGCGACTGCGAGAGTCACTCCGGGGAGGATGGTGAACTGAACCGTGTGACACAGCTAGGGATGGGAGTAAGCTTCTCCAGCCTGACATTGGGCTCTTCTCGCTGCTGCGGTCAGGGAGGCGTTACTGCAGCCTGAAGCCTAAAACGGAGACGCAGAGAGAAAGCTTCTACGGCCATATCCTGAATGAGGACTCTCCATAGTTAACAAGTCACGTTGCGCAAGTATACCATACCATATGGTACTTGGAACTGTCGCTGATATTTTCTCATCTATTGTGCAGTCGTTTTCTTATTTCTGATATTTCATTCGTGTTTTGTTTTTATTCATTATCTCTCGTACTATTGTTTTCCTTTGTATTGCATTCTTCTTTCAATCACAGTCCAGAAAGCAGGTGGAAAAGCATTTCACTGCACAGTGGTACAGTGTGTGATTGTGTATGTGACAAAACTTGGAACTTGAAGCCATACGGACAGGCCAGAAGATGGTCTAAGAAGGACAGAAAAGATCCCTCATGTTGGGGCCAAAACATACACACAAGACATTAAGCTGCAGAATGACTGCAGCAAAGTGGGTTCCAGGAGTCGGGGGGGTGGGGGGACATTTACTGGGTGAAAGGGGAAAAAAAGACTATCTTACAGTTATTGGGGGGGGGAAAGAACAGGTGAACTGAATGATTGCGGTCAACACCTGATGTTTCCCAGGATATTACATACTAAGTCAGTCCACATTTTTGCTCCCTCCCTGCTCCTGACACCTGTACCAGGTGTTCAGTGTCTTTGTGTGCTGGGAGCTGGGAGGAAGCAAACACGTGGACTGTCTGGGGGCACCCCGAGGACTGGATTGAGAAACACTCTACTAAGTGATTCAGTATAGGAATTTGATTGGCTCCCTTTGATGTTTATTGATTAACACTCTTTATGAGGAAGGACGGCTGAGCTGCCAGCATTGTTACCTCACACCTCCAGAGGGGTGGGTTTGAATCTTGCCTCTGGGTGTGTGTGTGTGTGTCTGTGTGTGTGTGTGTGTCTCCTTCATGTGCCCTGGCTTCTCCCATAGTCCAAAGACAAGCAGTTACATAATTCAGCATATCGGCATCTCAAAATTGACCCAGTACATGATTGTGTATGTATGAGGTCCACCCCTACCTGGTACCCTGTACTTCCAAGGATAATCTCCAGGATTCCTCCCCCCTAGGGGTAGGAAGTTGGAATGTAGTACCCACAATGCTTTCTGCTGGCTTGGTAACTATATTCAGACATGCTGAGTCATGGTGACGGCTGTCAGTCTCGCCTAAATTCTTTGAGTAAAGCACGCTTAGAATTTTTGCATTCTTCGTAGGTCTCTCAGGCTGCGTTGCTCTGAAAGGTTAAAAGGAGTGATTATCCACCACTTGTTCTCCATCACGCGGCCAATATGGAGGTTGTCAGCGAGCTGCGGGACGGATGGCTTCATCTACGGAACATGAGACAGGACAGCAGCCTTCTGGTGCTCTACTCTCAGAGCCACGTCCTAGAACATTCCATATGTCTACATCTCACCGGCACATTTACTTACAGAAGAGAGAAGGATTAGGGTGTTATTTTTATGAGCGATGGACAGGACTCGAAGACCTCTACGTTTTATTAACCAGCTTTGTGTTCCTTTATTAACTTGACTTTATCTTCTAATGTCATCACAGGAACAAAATAGGATGTGTTTAAAGAACCAGTAGGGGAACCTTCTCTACGTTTGCAATCTCTGTGGTGCGATTTTCAATTACTGCAACACACTGTCCCCTGACAACCAATCGGGGATATTTAATACACACACGAATCACCACATCTAGCAGTTCAATTTGTGTGATAAACAGGAAAATGAAAAATATATATGAAAAAATCACTATACACCATGCAAAATCCCAAACTACTACATACATCTTTCTCTTTTGGGTATCTTACATATTCTTACAACACTCAAGGTTTTTATCGTTCTTTTTTGAAATCTAGCTCGCAGGAAAAGATTGTGGATACGGTTCTGCCATTTATGTCTATGCATTCAAGACATTTCACGTCGGCTCAAATTGGAAAGTTTATGCCTGCCATCAAGGAAATATTAGGTGTGACTTCTCTTTTTTTTTGTAATGTGAATGTACTTGGTTTGAGACCAGCCAAACTGAATCGAAAGCCATCCCAAGGCTAAGCTGTATTACTAGGCAGGGAACTGTGTCATCCGCCTTATCTCTTTTCCCCTTCATTTGCTGCTAGGATATGTACCGTGGAAAAAATATATATATATTTGAAGAAAAATGCTTTTCCGTTCCTTGTTGTTGACCATTTTGTGGAACACAAGACAACAAACGTGCTGTGATTTATGATATTAAAACAATTTCTGTACTGCCTCAGGTAAAGAAAAATCAAATTGAAGCTATATACTGATCAAGAGAGGGAAAGAAACTATAATTCATTTGTTGTTTTATTTAGGTTTTATTATGTCATTCAATGCAGCAAGCGGTACATTGCCGCCTCTCTGGTGTACTGTGAATACATGTGTAATGTTCTCATTCAGAGCTATGTTTCTTGCACAAAACAGTTGGAGGAAACTTGGCCTGCACAGAAACAAAGGCGTCCCTCCTTCTCCAGAGTGGAAATTTCAGTCACACGGGCGAGAGATGATTCTCACTCCAGAAGGTGAGTAGGAGTGAAGGATTTCTTTCCCATGTCAGAAGAGGCCAAGGACGAGTCAAGGGGTCTACTTGAGGGCCGGGAGGAGCGAGGAGCAGCAGCTTCATCAGGAGGAGTGTGAGACTAGGACAAGGTTGGAGTGCAGGAGGCTTCTCACCGCCTCCCGTTCTGGGCTTT